AGGGTGAAGGGGAGGGAGGGAGTGAGAGCGAGAGTGGGAGTGAGAGTGCGAGAGAGAGGACCCACGCACACACACACACACACACACACACACACAACAGTAGAAGGACACGGGGGAGGGAGGAGAAGGATGAGGAGTGGCAGGAGGAGTAGGAGGGGCGTGTGGAGGAGGAGGGGGCGAAGGAGGAGGAGGAGGAGGAAGGGGACGAGGAGGACACGGGGTAGGAGGACGAAACTGAAGAGGACAAAGAGGAGGAGGACGAGGATGAGGAGGACGAGGAGAAAGGATGGCGAGAAACAGCGGACCAGGAGGAGGAGGAGGGGGAAGAGGAGGGGAAAGATGAGGAGGAGGAGGAGGAGACAGAGCAGGACGAGGAGGGAGAGGCGCGGCAAGGCCGGGATGCGTTTTCCCCCCTCGACAAAAAGGGGGGGAGGGGCGCGACCCCGAGCCACAACGCGTATCGCGAACTCTCGTGGTCAGCCCAATCCTTTCCTTCTCCCCACCCCCTCCGTTCGTTCCCCCTCCTCCGCGTTTTATACCTAGTTTCCCGCAGTCGCAAATGAGAGTGAAGGTGGGTCGGCACGCTCGTCGGACGCGCTCTCGTCGGAAGCTTGCGCTCGGGACCCCCCGCCCAGGACCCCCGCCCAGGTCCCCCGTGCCCAGGATTCCTCGCCCAGGCCCTCCCGTCAGTGCAGATATAGATCAGGTAATTGCAATGTCATACATGTGTCATGCGATGTGTGTGCATATACAACTATATCATGTATTAACACATATGTAATATCATACATAAAATGTGTAATACTATATTTATTATATAATATTATATAATAATATATGATAATATGAATATTATATACAATATATCTATATCGTAAATAGAATTGTGTACAATAATATTCAAATCATATATTACTTAATTCATATATACGTCGCTATAATTGTAGAAATCAATTACGTCAATTAATTCCGTGTGTTATTTCCGTGCATTTGTGCTGTCAATATTGGTGAATTATGGAGGCGCCCCAAGGTAATCATCCCCCAAAGCTGACTTAAACTCCCATAAATCATCATCATCATCATCATCATCATCATCATCATCATCATCATCATCATCATCATCATCATCATCATCACAATCATCATGAATATAAGCATCATCCGCCTCATCCTTCCTCGTCACTCTTCCCTCCGTCGTCTACCGTCCTTCGTCCATGGTCGACTCGTTAACTCGTCGTCACCCTCCTGCTTCTGCACCTCGTCCCCACCCCTCCCTCCTCCACCATTGTCTTCCTCTTCCTCCGTCCCTTTGCCCCCTCCTCCCCCTCCTCGTCCCCCTCCTCCTCCTTCCTCCGTCTTCTCCCTTCTAGAGTAGTATGGATTCCTCTGCCCTTGTCCGTGGTTTCTCACAGCTCATTCTACACCTCATCCCTGGTCACCTCTCGCATTGAGCGCAGGAGCTTATTAGACGAATGCCGCTGTGATCGCGACCGGATCATGAATGCTGACGCGATCCACCGACTGGAGGGTGGATTGATCCCAGGCTTGGCCTGGCCTCATCAAGTTTACCCAAGTATGCATACATATACTAACGTGTCGCCCTACCCTGGCAACCATCTCACTGCCGCTCGTGTTGCATGCGCGCTGACTGCAGAGCGTAGAGCGTTTTGATGTGCGATGACCGCCCCAAAAGCTGGAAGGTTGAGAAAGGGGCACTTATGCTGCCAGCCTCCCTAACATTGCCAAGAATCCAATGTATGGATTGCTGTTCAATACGGGCCCCGGAAAATCCGTACCCATTCCGCAGGACCGGCTTTTCACCCGGATCGGTTATTCGACGGTCTGGGTGACCGACAAGGGCCCTTGCATGCCGAAGACGGCGGGAAACCGTAGTACTGTGCTCAGCCCCTCATGTGTGTTGGGTCCTCGTCTTGAATGGAGGGCTACTCGCGCCCCGTCCTCTATTCCCGCATGATCCTTCTTGTATCCTGTTACAGCCTCGTCAGATTACGAGCCTGCCTCCCTCTCCATGCTATCGGCCTCCTGCCAACTGCGAGCTTCTACTTCCGCGTCGTCTGCAGAAGCAGCTGCGCAACTGTCGCAGTCGCAGCACCCTGACGGCCAAGAGGCCTCCACGACGCCCAAGATGGCCTCGAAGACGGCCCTGAAGCGCCCCAAGAGGGCCCCAAGTCGGCCGAAAGAGGCCGCCAAGACGGCTTCCGACGAGATCAGACGGGCCACGAGCGCCATCAGACGGCCAAAGAGCTTGTCAAGGAGCCTCAGAAGGCTCCCAAGAGGCCCAAGAAAGCCCCTGATAAGCCTTCAAGAGGCCCAAGTCCCAAGGGTGCCCCAAGTCCCAAGAGTCTCTCAGGAGGCTTTGCGTGTCCCCGAAGGGTGGTTCACAATGGCAGGGGAGACACATAGTCCGATAGCTCAGCCGAGCTCTGGCCGCAGCGTTCGACGACCGATGGGCGCCTCCAACAGGCAGGGGGCGGCGGTGATTCGCCGAAGGCGTCTTCGATCTGGCCCACGATGCCCGCCACGGGAGTGCACGGTGTGCTGGACTTCAGGTCGCGTTGGTCCTGCACGGTGTGCTGGGCTTTAGGTCGCGCTGGTCCTTTCTGTCGAAGAACTCCCAGTGGGGTCTCGGCCGATCCTGCCCGCCACCCCGAGAGCTCGGACAGACGCAGACTGGTCGTGTGCGTTCCCGCCAAGGCCGACCAGCCATCACTGGGGGAGCTGTGGTCCTTACCCCCCTGGGGGAACCCATCGCATCGACGATCTCTCGAGAGGGGTGTCGAAATCGATGGGTCCCCCAGGGGGGGAAGGACCACAGCTCGCCCAGTTGTGGCTGGCCTGCAAGGCGGCCCCAGGATGGTCTCCAAGACGGCCAAGAGGGACTCTGCTGAGCCCAAGATGGCCGAAGGATGTCTCCAAGACGGCCCAATATGCACCAAGACTGCCAAGGGTGGCCGCAACATGGCCGAAGAGGCCCCCAACCAAGTGGGCTCCAATAGGTTCTCCAGGAAGATCCGAGGAGGCACAACTCAGCGATCCTCCTTACATTGATATTTGCGGGTCGTTGTCGGCTTGCTCAGACAGCGAAGGAGGCCCCAAAGAAGCTCCCCAACGCACCCAAGAGGTCTGTGGAAGGCCCCCAGAAGCCTCCAAGAGACCCCAGGAAGCTTCCACGAGGTCCCAAGAGTTCCTCAAGAGGCTCTCAAGCGGTCTCCTCATCCCTCCTTGTTCCGCCCTCTCCGCCTCTGCTCCCCAAAGGGGTTCCACGACGACTGGGGGAACACATATTCTAATAGCTTGGCCGAGATCTGGACACAACGGTCGACCACAGAAGCGGTTCCAAAAGGCAGGGGGCGGCGGTGACTCGCGGTGGGCGTCTTCGATAACTCCATTAATTACACCATCAAGTATCCACGGAGCCTCCTCCTCCTCCTCCACCTCCTCCTCCAACTCCTCGTTCTCCTTCTCCTTCTTCTTCCCAATGTCCGTCCAAATTATGCGGTCTCCGCATCCCTCTCTCCCTATCCTCCGCCTCCGCGCCTCTTTCTGGCATAAGCCTGCATAAGCCCCCGAGCACGCAATACGTATCCCACGACGAAACCTTTGGGTATCCTGTCCTGCTCCATGTCCTCGTGATGTCTATGCTTTGCAGTGTCTGCGGCTTACTAGCCAGACCCACAACGCAAAACATCATCAACTTCGGAGAACATGCCCTAGTGCTGCCACTGGGACGCCACCAAGCAGCCGCGAAGGCCCACAAGAGGTCTTTGAGCGCCCCAGGATAGCCCAGTGGGCCATGGGCGGCCTCAATGCGGCCCCTCGTCTGTCCACGAGGAGCCATACTACTTCGGCAACAAATGACACCCAATCTGCCCAGGCGTGGCTCCGCGAAGCGCTGCTGATAACACTGATTGAGGACTCGCCGACCCCGTCGGCGTGTGCGAGACGCTGTCGTCGTCGTCGCTGTCCCTCCCTTGTCCTAAGCCTTCCCCCTCCTCTTCCACCTCCTCCTGCTCCTCTTCTGCCTCCACCTCCTCCTCCTCCTCCACCTCCTTTTCCTCCCCCTCCCCCTCCTCCTCCACCTCCCCCTCCTCCTCCCCCTCCTTCTCCTAAGCCCTCACCCTCCTCCTCATCCTCCTCATCCTCCCCCTCCGGCGATCCAGCTCCCCTGTCCCTGGGATCTCCTCCACGACCGCGCCGGCCGAAGGGGCACGAAGGAACGCTGTGCTCCTGTCGAGGGAAAGCACCTTCACTTTGATCCCGTCCCCGCCGCCTAGGAAGGGGGTGGAGGGATCCAGGGGGGGGGACTTCTGGAGCAGAATGCGCTCCCCGCCCGTGCCCTTTTCAAACAGTGTTCGGCCCTGTTTGGCGCCGCTTCAGCCCCTCACATCCAAGACGAACCAGAAGGGCATCCAATCGGCCCAAGATCGCTCCACGACGGCCCACAATGCCTCGAGAGAGCCCTCGAAATCCAAAGACGCCCCAAGAAGGCACCAAGAGGACCCCCAAGAGGTCCTGAAGAAGCCAAAATCGCTGCTCTTCATCATGTTTCTCTATGTCTTCCGCGTTCTCGCCTCTTCGGGCTTCCGACGCTCCAAAAGGCCCTGGAAATCCCCAAGATCGCCCAAACACAGCCCCAAAGGACCCCCCAAGAACCGACGTTCCGCGCCTTCCGCCCCATGCGGTCCCCAGGAGGCCCCGAGAGGCGCCCAAACAGCCCCCAAGAGGCACCCAAGAGGCCCAAGAGAGCCCCGAGGGCACCCCCAAGATGGCCCCAAGAAGCCAAGGGGTCGTCGTCGTCGTCGTCATCGTCGTCGCCCTTTTCAGGGTCGGCGGCACCGGCCGTGAGGCCTTCGCAATTATGCTGGAACAAGAGCCTGCAGAATACGGCCGCACCCCGTGTTCCCGAGACGAGTGAGAATGAAGCAACTGGTCAGCCAAAGCCATCTCAAACATGAAAATGTAGATTGTAAAGAAGGCTCCTACATGCATTGCCACAACCAGCTTGGTGAACAGGCCGCCGTTAACGGCCGGCAGAGAGGCCAGGCTATACGAGGAATGGAAGATCACCATGTAGCCCATCATGAGTACCTCAGCAATCGATGTGATACGGAGTCTTACGATCAGCGCCGTAGGGCATCTCTCACATACTTCGCACATCCCTATCACAATATGAACCCTGCCCCTTACACAAGCCGACACACAAGGTGCAGTTTCCCGTGCGCATATACAACAACATGCCCACATCACGTTAATGCTGTGCCGTTCACATGTCAGGGCGTGTTCGAATGCTTGTTAGTTGTCTGGCCTGAGATGCGAATATGCAGTGGTCCCAACAGGGAAAACATGCTGATGATGTTTGATGTCATGCGTGACGTGCGTGCGGGCAAAGGGAAGCTGCGCTCTTGGGCAACCTTCTGCCGTCGGAAGGAAACCGAGAGAGCCCAAAGAGTGCCCAACGGTGCCACAGGATGGCTCGAAGAGAGCCTCCTGACAGCTTTAGATGACCCCAAAATGCCCCGCGAGATCGATAACACCGGCGTCGACCCCCTACAGTGACTCTGTACTCTGTACGGTGTGCGATATAAGCGGTGGCCCCATCTATAAAATGAAACGAATGCAGCCAAATTTGGGCGGCCAGTTGACGCGGTGCAGAACATGTAGCGCCAAACATGTGGGGCAATCAGCACGGTGCAATACTCTGGGCGCGCAAACCGCGGCGCAATCCGTGCGGTGCAATTCCCCTTCTTGGCATCCGCGAGTGATCACCCCCCGTGCGCGTGCAAACGTCCCACCCACCCGGCTGCATCTTGCTGGCAAAGGTCGACTGCAATAGAGCAGGACCCTCATGGTGCAGATAGACGACTCGGGCGGGCGAGTGCTGATGATGACGATGATGATGATGACGCCGATGAAGATGATGATGATGATGATGATGATGATGATGATGATGATGATGATGATGGTGATGATGGTGGTGGTGGTGATGATGGTGGTGCTGCTGCTTACCACGAGGACAACAAAGACGATGGCGATGATGACGACGGTGGGGATGATGACGACGGCGATGGGGATCGTGGCGAAGATACTGGTGAGTGATGACGATAATCCCACCAGCCCTTCAGGGCGTGTGTAGTTTGAAGCGTCGTTCTCCCAATCCCCTTCTTCCCCTTCGGTGAGGGGTTACCAATGATCCCTGTCAGTACACCCGCTCCCCCAGGCGACTGGCAGCCAACCAAGCAAAATGCCCCCCACCATCACTGTCAAAAGGACATCATCAAACACACTTCTGGGCAACTTTTCGGGCAATGCCCATGGGCCCCACAAGCACTACTTTGTCTTATCTTTAACAGGGACGGCGGGGGGGTAACAATACAGAGTACACTACGTGGCTAAATCTGGATCATGCGCGGGCACCCCGCGGTCACTTTGCATTGTTTTTGACAAGGACGGCGGGGGTGCTGGCATGTTTCCTGTTCTGTGCAGGCCCACCAGAGATCATGATGGCCACCCCGCTGCGAGTGCGCACTGGTTTGCAGCAAAGACGGTGGGGGCCGACATGTTTCCTGATGTGTGCTGTCACGTGCGCGGGCGCACCTGGCACAATCTGCGCGTGCCCGGAGAGTGGCGCACCTGGCGCGGCTCAAGCATGCGACACACACAAACACACACACACACATATACATGACGCACGTGGAGCACGTGGCGCATCTGGCATGCCAGGCGTGCCTGGCATGCTCGGGCTTGACCTGGCGCGCGTGGCGCACCTGGCACGCGTGGAGCACCTCGCCTCAGCATCGCGCAAAGGAGGTCTCTTTTTTGCACAGACCACCGTTGAACACGCCGAGGCTCGGGTGCTACTTCTGTGTTGGGAGGGCGGGCGGGAGTGAGCGAGACAGCTTGCTGACGGATAGGGTGTCTTGAACCCTCCCCCCTACCCCCCACCCCTGGATCTGGACGGGGCGCCCCGCGACCGATTCGAGCGTCAAAGGCGGCCTCGGCGAGGAGGCACAGATCAGCGACTTTGCCAAAAAGGTGTTGGGACCATCTTGGCCAGTGCCCAAAGGGGCCACAGGAGACGCCCGCAGGGCCCCCAGAGGCTTCAAGGAGACACCCAAGAGGCTCCACCGAGGCACTCAAGACGCTCCAAGAGGCCCCCAGGAAGAGCCCGCCCGAGACGCTCCAAGAGGGCTCTCAGAAACTTCCAAGACACATCCGAAGAGAATCCGAACGGCATCCAAGAGGCATCTGATCAGTCTGCTCCCCCTGTGCCTCCTCCACCTCCTCCTCCTTCGTCTGGTTCTGCCTTTTTCCCCCACCTCTCCCTCCCCCATCCTACTCCGATTCTTCCTCCATCCCCCCGCTCTTGGGGTATGGCGGCTTCCCCAGCCCGCTGTTCCATTGCAGTGGATGCTTTTCCACATCCCTGATCAGGGCAACTTGCCTGGGCATCGTTGCTGGATGGGCTGGTGAAGTGACGCGACGAGTCTAGGCTAATGTATGAGGCTGGGTGTGATGACAACGATGATTGCAGGGGCGACGACAACGACAACGACTAGGACGACAATGGTGCTGATAACGACGATGGGATGATGACGACGACAATGGTGATGGTGATGATGATGATGATGATGATGCTGTTGTCGGTCATGATGCTGCTGATGAGGATGATGAAGATCGTGGTGATGGTGGGTAATGATGAGGCGAGCTATGACGACATAGATGGTGCTGAGGGCAACGACAACGCCGATGACGATGACGATGCTGATGACGACGATAGGGGGTGATGACGACGACGATGGTAATGGCGACGAGGGCAATGATGGAGCTGGCTATGATGACAGCGATGGTCCTAAGGGCGACGACAACGACGATGACGATAAGCATGTTCATGACGACGCGGGAACGATGACGACGCCGACGGTGGTAGGGGTGATGCAGATGATGGCGATGATGGCGAGTAGCTAGGATGACGATGGCGGTGATGACAACGATTGTGCGTATGATGATGATGGTGATGATGATGATGATGACGAAAAAATGCGCGCACAAATATTCGGAAAGGCGGACTTTTGCACTGCAAACACACATGTGCTTCCATATGTGTTCGAACACCTCTGCTGGAATGCTGGGGACGCAATGGCTGCAGAGGGAGGACGCCGAAGCGCGCGCGCGCGTTGCCCGCACGGTGTCCTTCGACTGCACGGTAAGACCTCTGATGTGTCCGCGAGTGCGACCGCGCCGATATATGGAAAAACCTGCTGCAGGACAACCCCATGGCTTACACCAAAGGTCCAACAACAACTCGACGTTGCGCTAACAGGGCATAGGATTGAGACGACTTTGACACACGCGCGCGCGGGGGCATGCGCTGTGCGCCGCCTTATACATCTGATCGGGAGGCACGATCATTTCCTATCACACGGTAATGTGTGTGACCCGCTGTAACGGCGCTGATTAGATCAACGCGTCTGCACAGCCTGGTATTGTCTAACGGCCGTGCAGTAATATGGACAAACAGCGCGGAGGGGAGCGGATAACCCTGGACTCGGTGGGGGGAATTTAGATCTTTCTAGGGGCGCGAATGTTGATGGTAGGACCATGTGGAGTTAGACCCTATGGGATGGAATTGTAGCTTACAGGGATAATTTATTTGGATGGGGCCGTAGAGGTGGGATCCTGTGAACCACAACATGAAAAGTCCTGTCGAACACAAGGAACTCATCAAAGACAACGTGATAACACCAATAGCCTAATAGCGTGCTGACCGCACAGACGAACATGAGCAGATAGACGTTCAAACAACACCGAGCCGCAACTCAAACAACCAGGCCAACTGACAGTGCTGCTCGTCCTGTCCGCCTCCTCCTGCACATCCACGATTCTCTCGTTTCCCATATTTCTCAGGCTGGAGCCACGCAGATAGGCCGAACCGAAGGGAACAGTCCTCAAAGAGGCCGCTGAGGTGCGCGCGGAGCACATGCCGGATGCCACCGCGTTCTGGGCGTTGATGTCCACGTTTGGTCCGCGCTTGAGCGCGGCCTCGGCTGGCAGCAGGGACCGCCCAACGTTCATTAGGGAGTCCAAAATGTACGGGCCTGAATTTAGCCGCCCTCGTGCCATGTGCACTCAGCAGAGTGCCCTCGACTCCCCTCGAGCTCTCTATACTGAAGGCTGCGAATGCAGCTGCTCTTCAAGGGGCGCAGGGCCAAAAATTCTGGGCGAAATCGGGGGCTTGCGGAGCCGTCCTGGAGGCCTTGGGGGCTGGTCCAACAGACCAAATCATTGAGACGACGACAGGTTATGGGTTCCTTTCGCATCTACTCTCCTTTTCGGTCTGAAGAGCGACCAAGACGACCCAAAAGGATCCCCAAGAGAGCTAGAGAGGCCCCAAGACGGGAAGGCCCAAAGTGAGAAACAAGAACTGACAGTTCGAGCCATTTCCTCCATATGGGTCCCTGGGACCGCCAGCAGGCCCCCAGGAGGCCCAGCTGGCAGCCGCTGACGAACGCTGGGCCCCTGGAGCGCTTGAAAGCCGCAATGCTGGCCATGACGCTCCTGCGCAGCCCCAAACCGGCAAGCAGAAAAGGGCCACGGAACGGCCAGAACGGAGCGGATGAGGCGGATGCCCGTCGCCAAGTGTTGGTCAACCGACGTCGGTGTGCCATGCCTGAGCCTTGTCGATCCGCACTCTGGAAAAACTGGAGGTAAGCCCTTAGAGGAGACGTGATCAGTTTGTGTCAGTGGCCTCTAAGCTTGTGCCCGCGACTGGGCTTTTCTCTCGACGGCGCTGGCCTCCTGTGAGAGCTGGACGTGGGATTCACCACAAGCGCTCCAAACCAATTCCGAGCGCTGACTTAGAGCGATCTGGTGCGCAAGGAGGCCTCAATATATGAAACAGATCAGGCCGGTAAACGGCGAATGTATGGCAGATCAGGTCCATTGCTGGCTCAACTTCTGATGAACGGGGTGTTCGCATCCGATCATACACACTGGATGATGGCATAAACAAAGAGAAGCGGATAGCGTAAAATATTGAAGGGGAAAGGTACGGAGGCGACCTGGGGCGAGCGAAAGAAACAGCAGTGCGCGGGAACGTGGACGGTGTGTGAAGTCGACGCGCTTGGATTTGAATACCCTCTCGGCGGTGGCTGAGGCGTTGGTGGCTGAGCCCGCGTGCGAAAACCATGCGAGGCATCAAATATATAAACCCCAATGCACAGCCCTCGTGTCCCCATACAGTGGGGGTTCGGCCACAAGAAACCTCCGATAAAAACCCAACCCTGAAATCCGCGATCTGTTCAGTGAATCGAAGCGGGATTGTGTCGATTCTGTTCAGTGATCTGTTCCGCGAGATGTGTCGATCGAAAAGCGTCAAGATCGGATTGGGAGCCCCTCGAGGTCCAGGAGACCCGGGGGCCCCTGGCAGAATCCAAGCGGTCTCTTGGCACGCAAAAATAACGGCCGCGACGCCCTCTCGCGAACCGAAAACGGCCAATTCACTAATCGACGTGTCAGGGTACTCCAGATTCCGTAATAAAAGAGAGGGGGTCTCATTTCGGGGGGGGGTCTCTTCCAGGCTATCTTGGAGGGCCTGGGGGGCTCTGGGGACGATGTTTTGGAGGGTTCCCCCACGGGGGGGGGTCTAAAACTTCTCGTCTGGGAGGGTTGAGACCCCCTCCCTTTGATTACGAAATCTGGGGTAGGAGGTCTGTCCACCCCCGACCCAATGCACAGTCCTCGTGTCCCCATAGTGAGCACCGAATATGGGGGCCGAGGGGGCGCTGCTGCTGTCACCATAGTGACCACCAAATGGGAGCCCATCGAGATCCAAGAGACCCAGGGCACCCTGGCAAAATCCCCAAGTGGTTGCTTGGCACGCGCCCCCACTGTAGTGAGCACCGAATTATAGGGGACGAAGGGGCGCTGCTGGCCCCGGCGAGAGCCTCGGCCACGAGGAGGAGGCTCCATGCCCCGGATCTCGCGACCGGCAGGAACAAAACCAGAGCCCCGCCTGCTCCCCACAGGGTCCTCCTGTCAGCGTCTGGACGATGTGAACTCGAGGGGCCCAAGGACACACAACTAGATACCCAGAAATAACACAATCCCCCATACTTTCCCATATGTTCTGGGTTTTGGTCTTCCCCCCCCCCTTCCCAGGCCCAGGGACACCCAAATAAATACACACAAATAAAATAATCAACCCCCCACTTTCCCATAGTTTCTGGGTTTTGGTCTTCCCCCCCCACTTCCCATATGTTCCCATACTTCCTGGGGGGTCGACGATTCATTGTGTCTGTGTGTTTCTTTCCCTCCTGATGAACCACCACTTCGAAATCGAAAAATGGTGGTTAGCGGTTAGCGCGACGGATGTCCTACGTGGGCCGCCTGCAATGCCGGCCGACCACCACGTAGATTCCGAAGTGGTCGTGGGGCCCGCCTGCGCGACTTGCAACTGCGCAGGCGGGTCGATGTGACCACCATCGCACCGACCACCAGATCGTCCATTCAAATCAGAAGCACTTCGCAAGGAAGACACCAGCCGACGCCGGCGGAAGCCTCGCCGACTACAATGTTGAGCGCGGTGGTCAGGACGATGATAAACACCCACAGCGTGCTCGAAATCGTAGCGGGTGCGATTGCCAGGGGATCGCCAAGCTCTGGGTAGCCGACCCTGTATCAACATAAAAACTTGCGAAGGCGAAGGGGGCCCAGCACCGACCAAAGAGATCCGCGCGTATCATCAGAACGCGCGGTGGGAATGCAAGGTCCTTGCAGGCCCATGTGAACTTTTTTCGCACGAGTTTGGCCAGCGATAGTCGAAAAGAGTGGGTCGAAAGGGCAGGGATGTAAGGGCACCCTTGAAAAAAACGCTCGTCCGTACTTTGAGGGTTGACTGTAGATGTTGTAGTCAGCTCATTACAGTCGGCCCGTATCATAAGGATGCGCGATAAGGATGCAAGGCCCTTGGACGCCCATTTCTGAGCTTTTCGCGCGGGGCGCGGCCAACGAAAGTGGCCAAGGATGGACCGAGGAGGCACGGATGCAAGGGTGCCCTTGGGACGGTTGCCCATCCCTACTATGCTGACTACCTACCAGACCATCCCAACCCAGCCCGAAGACCCGAATTTGACCCGAATTTCGGGTTGGGGGGGGGAGGGGTACGAGTTCCATGTGTTGTTTCAATGTTCCCCGACCCCCCCCCCACTGGAAATCGAGGATAAACTTGGGCCTTCGGGCTGGGTTGGGGTGGTTTGGTGGGTGGTGATATGCGGGGTCGAACGTACTCCTCGGAAGCTGGCGACGCTGGGTGTGGGGCGCTCTCCGACCGGGGGTCCGAAACGGGTCCCGCCGCGGAGGCGAGGCAGCCCCAGCGGGGCCCCAAAAAGAGGCCATCGACGTCCAAAGGCCTGCCAAGCCTCGATCCTCGATCCTCCTCCTCCTCCTCCCTCCTCCTCCTCCTCCTCCTCCTTCCTCCTCCTCCTCCTTCCTCCTCCTCCTCCCTCCTCCTCCTCCCCTCCTCCTCCTCCTCCCTCCTCCTCCTCCTCCTCCCTCCTCCTCCTCCTCCTCCTCCTCCTCCTCCTCCTCCTGGGCGTGGGGGCGCGGGGGGGGGGGTCGTGGGCCAACCCGCCACCCGGTGCAACCCGACCTACGGGCAAGGTGGCTGACTCCTCGGGCGCGGAGCGCGCCGCCGCCTGCCGAGCCCCTGGGATGATCAGAGGAGAACAGTTGACCTCGGCTTCGGTGCGAGGAGAAAGAGGAAGAGGAGGAGGAGGAGGAGGAGGAGGAGGAGGAGGAGCAGGAGCAGAAGGAGGATCGCTATGAAGCACCCGAATCTCTATGAAGCACCCGAATGCGTTGAGACTGGCTTATGTGCACAGAGCAGCGGCCCGCGGCACCGATCCCTCTGACCCCGGGGGAGGGGCCCGATGCATCCGCACTGATTAGAAACCACCCTTTTCGGGCGGTCGGGAGGTCCCTTCCGCCCTCCGCCCCGGGCCCAGACCCCCCAGAGTCTTGGAGTTCCAGTGGCAACCCGCATGCCTTGTTCTGTGTCCGCATGCTGGTGCGAGTCCCCGCATGACTTCGTTCATCGGGTCGGGCGAAAGGGGGGGATAGCAAAGGGGGGGTTTGAGAATCAGCTCACGTAGCTGATTTCCCCGGCGCCTCCCGGCACCGGAGGCGGCCATGTATCGAGGAATAGGCCCCTCGGTGGGGCCGAAACCAGCTGCATGCGGCAGATTTCGTACCCCCCCTTTTCCTTATCCCCCCCTTTCGTTCGGCCCGATGCTGGTGCGAATCCCCGCATGGCTTCTTTCGGTGCAAGAGGGCCCCGAGGTGGCACAAGAGAGCACCGAGCGGCCCCGTAACAGACGGTCCACGGGCGCCCCGAGTGGCCCGAAGACCGCCCCGAGGCGCCCAGGCCTGCAGACTGCTCAAGAGGCCCCCCAGACGCCACACGAGGGCTCCAGAAGACTCCCCGAGAGGGCAACGGCCGGCCAAAACCATGGATTTCCTACAGTCATCGGCCTGACCTAAGGAACGATGAAGAAGGAACGAAGCCCCTTGTCCCAAGGAATGACGCGTAAGGAAGGGAACGATCTATAATACACATCGCACAAGGAGCGACAAATAACGCATGCAAGCCTGAGGAACGACAGAGCCCCTCCTTTTGAAAAGTAAGTGTTCCTTGTTCAAGCCGCTCACCTCGCAATCGCTCGGACGTCCATTCCCTGTGTTTCTTTCGGTCTCGTGCGTGGCTGTTTCGCCAAGTGATCAAGGATGCTCCCCGATGGCCCTCGCCGAAGGAAAAAAATGCACACGCCCGAGCGATGCCAAGGCATGCCTCCTTTCAGTGCAAAGAAGGCCCCGAGATGGCACCAGAAAGCACCGAGCGGCCCCGTGAGATGGTCCATAGGGCGCCCCGGGTCGCCCCGAGATCGCTCCAGGGCGCCCAGGCCTGCAGACTGCTCTCCAGCGGCCCCCAGAACGCAGAACGCGAGGGCTCCCAGAGACTCCTCAAGAGGGCTCCCGGGCCAGAACCATGGGATCTCCTGGGGTGTCTCAAGGATGTGTTTGTTCTCACTTGCTCGGGGCTTCGACGCTCCAAGACGGCCAGGGAGGCCCCAGATGCCGCCCAAGGCGGCCCAGGAGCCCCTGCGAGGGCCCCCCAGACGGCCCAAGGGGTCCCCAAGACGGCCCAAGAAGGCCCAAGGGGGGCCCAAGGAGCAGTCCGAGAGAGGCCCCACAAAGGGGGAGCACGAACACACACACACACACAAACACACACACACACATGCCGAGCCCTCCCCTCCGCCCCAGGGTGACCTCCGAGACGGTCGCCCGCCCCGCAGGAAGCCCCGCAGGGAGCCCCTGGAGGCTTCCAAGGAGGCCCCAATCAGACCCGAAGAAGCCGCCAAGAGGCCCCCCCCGAAGCCCGAATGCACCACCAAGACCTTCTCCAAGAGGCGTCCGAGAGGCCTCCCAAGAGATCCCCGCAGGCATCCAAGAGGCAGATGACCTACAACCCAGGCGCGGTGGCGGAATGGGCCAAAGGCCCCTCGATGCATTGGCATGGAACCGAAAGAGAAAGAGAGAGAGAGAGAGAGATACAGAGCGAGACCGACGAATAGTCTGATCGATCGACTGATTGATCGTGGTACGCGATAGCTCGTGAGATCAATGTGTAGCACGACCGAGATATAGAGCATGAGATCGATACAACCATTGTGGATCATGCTATTCTTAGCTTGCGAAACGACGAATCACTGTGTATGCTGTTTGGTGCGTTTGTTAGTGCTTCGGAGGCTCAAAGGGAGGCATTGGAGGGAGGCCACGGCGAGCTCAGGGGCCTGCTATACCGAACAAGCTAACAACAACAAAAACGCGAGCATACGAGGTGCTTCGTGGCTTCAAAACAAAAGAAACGCTCAAGAAAAAAAACGAAGCATCAGCAATAGTTGGCGCCCCCATGAGCCACTAAACGCTGTGGGGGTTGGCGATACGACAGTTGGGGGTTGGCGACACGACAGTACATTGTGAATGCTTGTTTGTTCGTGTTGTGTTGTTTCGGAGGCTCAGAATTGATGCAGGGGGGGGGGCGCGGCGAGCTCTAGAACAACAAACACACAATGGTTCGTGGTGCAAAAGACGGGGAAAAGAGCAGCATGCACAATGTTTGGTGCCCTCTGTGTCACGAAACGCTTTCTGTGCTGTGTTATGCATTTGTTGCGCAGGGAACTGGGGGGCCATGAAACACTGTGTTGGGTAGGTTGGTTGTGGATTTTGGAGTCGGAGGCTCAAAGTTGTCCTGCAGGGGGGCCGCGGCGAGCGCTGGAGCGTCCGACACACATGACAAGAGATACGCATACTCAGTGGTTCGTGGTTCACAAACAAAAAACATGTCAGCCAGCGTGGACCCGAGCCAGTGAGTTTCTAGCGAGTTGACTTGCGGGATCTACGGTGTGCAATCAATCACTGGCTCAACTTGAAACTGTCCTCTCCACTGCTCGTGCAAACATCCCACCCTCCCACCCGCAATTTGGTCGCAAGACCTCTTAAGACCGTGACGGTTGGTACCAAATGCCACTTGCAACGACATGGACGCCGACGACGACAGCGACAACGACGACGACGACGACGCCGACAACGACTACGACGACACCGACGACTTCTCCAACGACTTCGACGACGACGACGACAACGACGACGACGACAACACCGACGACGACGACGACGAAGCCGATGCTCACGACGACGACGACGAAGATGACAACGCCGACGACGATGACGACGCCGCCGACGACGACGCTGACGACGCCGACGACGACGACGACGACGACGACGACGGCGACGACGAAGACGACGACGACGACGACGTCGCCAGCGAAGACGACGACGACGACGACGAGGGAGGAGGGAGGACGACGACGGCGACGACGACAACGACGAGGGAGGAAGGAAAACGAAGACAACGACGACGACGGCGACGAAATACGAGGGACACGACGAAACGCCGACGAAGACGACGAGCGAGGAAGGACGACCACGGCGACAACGACGACGGAAACGACGACGACGCCAAGACGACGACGACGAGGAAAAACAGAGGACGACGACGGCGACAACGACGACGACGACGAGGGAGGAGGGAGGAGGGCGACGACGACGACGACGCAGGAGCGCGCGCGCGCACGCTTTTGTTGAAAATCGGTGCTGCGAAACCTTGTGTTGTTGTATGTTTTTTGACACACGATTTTGAAATCCTGCCGAAACCGACCAATGTTTGAAGGATTCCGGCATGCGCGCGCGACGACGCGCGCGTCTGTGCTTCGTCCAGCTTTTGCAGAGGATTCTCGCGACGGCACGCGCGCAAGGGCGTTTCAAAAAATTCGACATGCACGCGCGCGAAGCCGGTTTGGTAGTATGTATAAACATGTTTGATGTTTACATATAAATATGTTTATATATTATATATATATATATATATATATATATATATATATATATATATATTTAAAAAAAAAAAAAAAAAAAAAAAAAAAAAAAAAAAAAAAAAAAAAAAAAAAAAAAAAAAAAAAAAACACGCGCGCGTAAGCTTTGATAAACGTCAGTGCTGCGAAACCATGCGGTTGTGTATGATTTTTGGGGGGAAATTC